TGTCAGTGAGCCCTGTACGCTGCCTGTTCGGGGGTACCCAAGTGTGGATGCCACAGCGAAAGAGGGGCAGAATGCCCAGAGTGGCGACCCCTCACCCTGACCTGTCGATGGCCCCCTTAGCCAGGCCTGGGAGCACAACTCTGATTTGTCCACACCCCGCCCCACCCTTCCATGCCAGGTACCCTTCTGCATTGCCCACCACGCCAACCCCCTACCCGCTTTGCGATCCCGGCTACTCCTGGCTCATTGCGCCCCACCCCCCGGGAGCCAGAGAGGATCAGAGAGCGAACGTGCTGCGTAGGGAGCGCAAGGGTAGTGAGTCCAGTTCTGTCCAAGGGTCCCCTTTCCTCTGCGCGTTGGACCCCGAGGGGAGGTGTGCCCGATGCTATCTTGCCCTCCCTGCCCTTCGATTTCAACTGGGCGCCCTCTGTGGCCTGGCCCTCAGCCTCTTTGAGTTCAGAGTCAAAGACTCCCACCTCTCCCAATTTACCCCTCTTCCCCCCCCCACCCCGGGTTGGGGGTGGAGGTGCTTACAAGGGGCTGCAAGAGTGAGGTCTTCAGCCTTGGAAGACAGTTAGAATCGCCACTGTGTGCCATGATCTGCTGAGCGTTGGTGTCGGGACTGTGTGTGGGTCGGGGTAACTGGGATCATTGCACATGAGCGTGGGATAACGCAACAGCCTCGGAAATTCCCCCCCACCCCACTTTAACCTGGCTTGCCTGGAGGTGCCTCACTTGGCTGCCTTCCTGGATTTTACCGCGGGGCCAATCTTCAAGGCCGGCTGCCAGAACTCGTCTTCTCTGTTGTCGTCTGCCAACTGCACCCTCGCCTCCCACCCTGGCTCTCCTGCACTCTTGTTGACCCTCTGAATTGACATGGCACCTAGGCCATCCTGTTCATGCCCGCTCTCCACCATCTCAATGGATCCATACCCCTTCCTGTTCGCTCCTGCTCTACGCCATACCAATGGACCCAAACTCCTTCCTGTTCGCTCCCGCTCGACACCATCTCAATGGACCCAAACACCTTCCTGTTCACTCCTGAACACCGTCCCAGTGGACCCAAAGACCTTCCTGTTCACTCCCACTTGACACCATCTCAATGGATCCAAACACCTTCCCGTTCACTCCTGCTCTACACCATCCTAATGGACCCAATCTCCTTCCCGTTGACTTCCGTTCAACACCATCTCAATGGATCCCAACCCCTTCCCGTTCACTCCCGCTCTGCACCGTCCCAATGGACCCAAACCCTTCCCGTTCACTCCTGCTCTGCACCGTCCCAATGGACCCAAACCCTTCCCGTTCACTCCCACTCTACACTGTCCCCATGGATCCCAAACCCCTCCCCGTTCACTCCCACTCTACACTGTCCCCATGGATCCCAAACCCCTCCCCGTTCACTCCCGCTCCACACCGTCCCAATGAACCCAAACCCCTTCCTGTTCACTCCCGCTCCACACTGTCCCGATGGACCCAAACCCCTTCCCGTTCACTCCCGCTCCACACCGTCCCAATGGACCCCAAACCCCTTCCCGTTCACTCCTGCTCTACACCGCCCCGATGGACCCAAACCCCTTCCCGTTCACTCCCGCTCTACACTGTCCCAATGAACCCCAAACCCCTTCCCGTTCACTCCCGCTCCACACTGTCCCAATAACATGATCCCCTTTGCTTGGCTGATGTTGAATCCAGGGGAGCGGTGGTGATGGTGGTGGTCTTAGCTTGGGGAGATCTGATGATGCCTTGATGAACTGTAATTGGCTGCTCGGTGTGTGTTGAACTAATCTTTTCCTTTCTCCTCCCTCTCGCTCAGACTGACCAAACAATCGTAAGTATTTTGTTGGGGGCACCCTGCATTGTTAACAAACATTTGGGTGGGGAGAGACAGGCGGGACTGGGTCACAGAATGAGTCCAAATAGGAACCTGCTGGCACACCATCTGGCCTCTTTGCTGCTCCTCCCTCCGTCCCTGTCTCCTGCTAAGAGCCAACACCTTTCCGCTCATAATCCAGCAAGCTGGTACCCCCTTTTGGCAACCCAGAAGCTCCACCATCGGGGGAGCACGGGGTAGGGGCCTCAGCGGGTTAGCACTGCTGCCTCACAGCGCCAGGGACCCGGGTTCGATTCCACCCTCGGGCGACTGTCTGCGTGGAGTTTGCGCATTCTCCCCGTGTCTGTGGGGGTTTCCTCCGGGTGCTCAGGTTTCCTCCCACAGTCCAAAGATGTGTAGGTTAGGGTGGACTGGCCATGCTAAATTGTCCTATAGTGCCCAGGGATGTGCGGGTTAGGGTGGATTGGCCGTGCTAAATTGTCCCGTAGTGTTAGGGATGTCCCATAGTGGTCACCATGCTAGGTAGTTAGCCATGGGGAATGCAGGGTTGCAGGGATTGGGGGGCGCTGGGATGTTCTTTGGAGGGTCAGTGTTGACTAGATGGGCCGAGTGGCCTGACTCCATACTGTAGGCATTCTATGATTTGAAGTCAGAAGGCCCTGCGTTTGGGGATCGGGACTGAGGGAGCGCCGCATTGTTGGAGGGCCCCCACAGATCAAGCTCGGCTCTTCTGCGGGCGCTGTCGGAGGGTCGGTGCCGAGGGAGCGGGCGCTGTCGGAGGGTTGGTGCCGAGGGAGCGGGCGCTGTCGGAGGGTCGGTGCCGAGGGAGCGGGCGCTGTTGGAGGGATACTCTGCTGAGAAGGCTTGTCCCAGTTGCTAGGTCAGGACTGGCTGGGAAAGCAGGTGTATATCACTGGTGTCAGCCAAATGCAGTTGCTGGGTCCGTGGAAGTATGGGCCCAGGTGGTATGGGGCTTGTTTAGACCAGTCTATACCCACCATTCCAACCCCCTTAATGTATGTCTCCATCTTCGGTGATGCAACAACAACTGCATTATAGTGGCACCTTAACCAGAGTCAATATGCTGCTCAGAACTTAAACTATCGCAGTCCTTGCCCTATTTTGTCCCAAGCCACACTTGGTTAGCCATGGGGAATTTAGAGTTGCAGGGATAGCGTTTGGGGGGTGGGATGGGGTGCTGGATCTGGGTGGGATACTCTTCTGAGAGTCAGTGTGGGCTGAGGGAGAGAGAGAGAGAGAGACACACCAATCAGTATAGATATTTCCCTGAGAGAGAGGGGGGACTGTGTGACACCAGTCAGTGTACAGATATCTCCCTGAGAGAGAGATGGGGGCCATTGAGAGACACCAGTCAATGTACAGATCTCTCCCTGAGAGAGAGAGGGGGGGGACTGAGAGACACCAGTCAGTGT